TTTTCTAGAGAAATTCAACAGGAAGGATACAAACAAAAAGGAAAAAAATCCCTGCACCATGCAGCAAGAAAGCAGCTTTTTGTACTATAGAGCAAAGAAGGACTTTTGTGATAGGGGAAGATGAAGAACTGCTGGACAGATTGTGCACACATTCTGTGGCCATCCCTTGACCCAGTTGCTGTAATACCCCTTTTCTGGCTATTCTAGAAAAGAGCCATGTCAAGATGAGTGGGAAAGCTACTGGCCTTTTACTGTGGGTTTGCTTTCTTGATTATTCATCTTCCTGCTGCATTTATGGTATCATTCTTTAACCAACTATGTGACCAAAACCTCCGCATTGAAATAAAGACATCAGATAGACTAACTGTGTTAGACCACGAAGAGTGTGAAAGAACTGAAATAAAAATAACACTGAATTCAGTCTGAAAACAGATGTCTGCTTAGTACTGCATTCTACTCACAAGGGCAGACCTGTGACACATTAGTTATTGTAGAATCTGGTTTGGTGACAGTCTGGTTGATGGTCATGGCAAAGGACAAGGATGTTTTAATAGTGTTAGACTATTGCCATTAAAACTAGAAGAAAATAACATTCACTGTAATAAAAGTAAAAATGGAGCATACTAACTTTAGTTGTCAAATCTTAGATCTCTAATGACTTAACACGATTTTTTTCTTTACATTCTCTACTAGATTGGAGGACCTGCGAGTAAAGTTAGAGAATGAAGGACTGGTCAATATCTCATATGTGATTGTCAACCATCAGGGAACTTATTCCCAGAGGAAATTTCACTTACTGAAAGAAAGTGTTTCAGACTCTATTACTGTCTACCAGCAAGATGAACAGCAAGCTGATGTCTGGACTACCTTAAATGGGAACAAAGATGATTTTCTCATCTATGACAGGTCTGTGTGTTAGACGAGAACACAGGAAAATACTTCTATGTATTTAGAATAATGCTTTGTAAATTTCTATATTTCATTGATTTGCAAATAACCTAGTTACCTCAAAACAAAAACATCATAATCAACTTCTAAGTTGCACTAAGTAAAGCACTTGCATTTATCAGGAAAAGGAAGCTACGAAGGAAGTCTGATTTTGCTAAATAAGTTTGGGATAACTAAATTTTTCTATATAATTTCTGTGAGTGTAGAATTTGATAGCATGATTCTGGTCTTGCACCGATTTTATTTTCAGACAGCTTAATTACATCCATGTATGTGAAAGTAGAAGCAAGTGAGAAAAGCCATCTGAATTATCACGAAAACATTTTGACTGGGATTGTTGAGGATGTCATGTAGCCATACAGAAAAATTAGTCCTTAGGTGAAACTTAAGACTTTGGAATAAAACAGGGTTTTGATCATAGGATTCAGGGGCGTGTATCTTTTGGCAGAACCGGTAATAATGCTTTAGTTGAAATCCTGATTTTTTTTTCAGTTCTGATGGAAATTATTCTAGAAGTCCTGCACTTCTAACATGTCCATCGTAATTACTATTATGTTACTGTAGTGAACGTTCTCACTTCATACTGAGGCATAATTGAGTTTAATAAAGTTACTTTTTTTTGGTAATATGATGAAATTGAATGCATTATCTAAATCAGGCTTGTGGTATGAAACTAGAACTGGAATGATCTTTAGAAAGTAATTGCATGTTACAGCAGCAAATACACCTAAGTATGGAAGGTTACTGTTGTATGACAGACAAACAGAAGGCTGTATGTAGTCCATGGAGGGACCCCAGAGCTAACACCTGATCTGCAGCATTTAAAAGCTTTAACAGTTTTGTGCTGTCAACACATAAGATACTCTGTCACTACATTTGGCACTAGTCTGGCCATGATCCATTATGGTTCTAAGAATGTATGTCCTTATTGTGCCTTTATTGGCAATGATGTCTTTGCCTGTTGCTGGTCCTAGACATGCACTGTGGAGTGGTAGGGAGGCAAGGCTGGAGGACGGTGTGTTGACATTGCAGGTGGGGTACTTAACAAGGTGCCCTTGTGTATAAGTTTTGTATTTACTCCAGCTCCTTTGAACATACCAGTTGTGTAGTCAGGTGCATACCAGAACACTCAAGTACAGACATGGTGCAAATAGGCACCATAAAAATCCCTTCATCCACTCTAAATCTCTAATGCAGATACACAGCGATTCATGTTCCAATCGAAATATATGTTATGTTGCATGAAAACACTCTTTGCAATGATGCAACAACCACGTTTGCAAACAGCCCTCCTCGTTAGCCAGATAGGTCTGTAATGGGTGTACCTTTGCTAATCTGAATGCCAATAAATTAGAGGCTTGTGCCAGTGTAGTTACTACGTAAGCCAGAAATCACACTTCACACTATTGGTTGATGCAGCTGAGTGGCATTTTACATGTAAACTCCTTGGACAGAAACACTCTCCATGGGACTGTACAGTATAGGTGGATTGATGTGAACACAATAAGGTATGATAAGAAGAGATACTTAATTTTAGGTATGTTTTTATGTATATGTAACCACAGAGTTCTTTGTCTCCTTAGATGTGGTCGTCTAGTGTATCATCTGGGTCTGCCCTATTCCTTCCTGTCTTTCCAATATGTGGAAGAATCTATTAAGATTGCCTACTGTGAAAACAAGTGTGGAAACTGCTCTTACACGGTATTTTCTTATTTGATTCTGTATATACTAGGAAAGGAAACTGGATTTGACTGGTATTAAAAAAAAAACCCTTTTAGTATGATAAATCCAAAAAGGCATGGTTTAGAATGTACCCATTTCATGTGTCTTGACTTAACTCTGATTTATAATAGACTGGTTATCTTAATTCCTGCCCTTGATAGAAATGCAAATTCAGAAATCTAAATGCCATCTGGGAAGCTAATTCTGGTTTTGATGTTATGTACAACTATTGAGCAATTAGCTCCTCTGGTTTTCGGGGACAGGTAGGTACTTAAACAAGTAGTAATTTTTTTTTAAACCTGGGAATCAAATCTGACTTACTATTCCTTTTAGTTTACATTTAAATATGGTATATAATAGTTAATTTAAAAAATGTGTTAATACAAAGTGACAAATTATTGTTACTGTTATAAAAGAAGGGTAGCTTTGTTTTACATGTAACTAAAGATAAGAACTACTTCAAGGACTATCAGGAAATATATATACATAGTCATGAAGGTTCAATGAGAAGAATAATTTTTGATCCTATAATCCAGTTTTCCAGGTAAATGTAGGCCTTGGGCAGGTCAGATGTGGGATCCTAGAACAATTAGTATTTTTATTAACAATTATTTGGATTTTAATTCCTAAGAGTTTACATTAAGAGCCCTGTTCGGTTACCAGTGGTGTTGTAGAAGGAGGTTCTTTTTGATAACATTCGTATCTATCTTCAGCAAAGTAGCACAAATAATTTAAAATTGGGTTTCAGGTTCTGCAAAAATGTTAAGATCATTAATATTATACAACTAGTTTAATTAAATATGATGTTTTGTATTTAATGCAGACTTCTGTTTTGCAGAAATTCGATATTGATGGTACATGTGAAAACATCACTAAAAAAGCAGATGAAAAGCTAGCAGAGATAGAACCCAAACCAACTGGTCAACATTCACATCACCACAACCTGCACAGACACAGACACCACCACCACCACCACCATTATCGCGAGGGCAGTCACCGTTCCACAAATGAGAACCGTCAGGCTCCTTATGGAACGCAAAGATACCATCACAGTGGTCGGCGTCATAGAGTTTTTGGCCATAACAGACATGATCAGACAGGTAGTCATGAACAAGTAGACCCTGTTCCTCCAGGAGAAAGTGTGGAAATTACACAAGATAAAAATCTATGAAAAAAGGGGAAAACCAGCTGTAAAAAACAGTTAACTTGAAATTGGCAGACAGCATCAGACTCAGCTTCTAGTAGCTGATGCTGTCATTGTCGACACCTTCTGTTTGAAGAGCTAGGAAATTCTGTCACTTGACAGTGTCGTGGAGCACTGCCAAATTCTTGCAGGTGACATGGCCAGCTGTTAGCAGAGGACATCACTGAATCTTGACAGTGACGTCTGCTTGCTGCTACCTGACAGTCACCAGCAGCAGGAGCAAGTGAAACTAGTGACACCTGACAGTGACAGGAAAAGGCAAAAAATTGAGCCTGAAAAACAAACTAAGCACCTTAAAAATGCAAGGGAGTCCTACTGTCTAAATTTATGTAATTTTGTGAGTGGCAAAATTAACAGATACTTAATCTTTTTATTACCCCCAATTAAAAATCATACTAAGACAAGTGCACAGAGTTAAAATACTGCAAACAAGCAGACTTTTAGAGCAGAGCTCTTAGAATTACACAAAACCTGTCAAATACCATCAGTGAAAAGATTTAGAACTTAAAGAAATTTAATTGTCATGTAGTTTTGTTTTTCAGTTGTACTGCGAAGGTGTCTGCATTCTTGATTAGTTTGTCTTTCTTGTTTCTCTTCTAACATTCTGCTTGCATTTGTGAGGACAGGAGCATAAACTATGACCTAGGGGCTCTTGTCTGATGTTTTGCAATCAAGAATAGAAGATAACCAAAAGAGATATTTTAATCATTTTTTATTAAGAAGGTAAAATCTGTTCAGAAGTTTAGTTTTTTCCTAACCTGGGGATACACATTACATACAAGAAGAGTTTATTTCTAAGCAATGTGCCAAAATAACTTTTTATCTCAAATGTAAGACAGAAGCAGTAATTGAATTACTTTAAAGTAAGAGATTTATATGCTTAACTTTTGTGGCTTAGATATGGTATCAGGGTCCATTAATATATACTACTACAGCTTGTAAAATCCCACTAAATCAGTAAGATTGGGCCTAAAGTGAGAAGCAGTGCTAACAACTCTTCATGCAGAATCACTATCAAGAAGAGGAAGAGTCAGAACAAATTTAATCTTGGTTTAATGTTTATGTTTGTTTATAACAGTGCTGAATTTGATAACTGTATTAATTAGTAAGGTAATATCTCTTACACTTGTATAACTTCTCTTGTGTGTAGCTTAGCATTCCTAACCTTTGATTAACGGAGTTGAAGTAAAATCATAGTTGTTTGAAGGCTTCCTGGATGAAGAAAAGAATATTCAAGAAAGGAAAACAGCTTTGAAAGTGTACACCATAATTAATGATGGTTTAATAGGGAAATTATTACTCCTATGAAACCTGAATCTTTTTATGGTGAATACTGATTAGCAAGAAAGTAGCCCTGAATATACACAGAATGCATGCCTCTGGAATATCTGACAAGAGCTTTTTCAATAAAAAATACTCTGTATTTCTTCATATCTTGTTTTTACTTTCAGGTGCACAGTTTAAAATAGTCTGTTTCCATTTCTCATTGCCTGTAGTACTGACATACATCATGTCATTTACTCAGTCGCCTCTGTTTCAAGTGCAGGTCTTGGGCTTTAATAAGACGTTGCTCTAAGTTTCTTATGGTGTCTCGGAGAATTTCAATTTCATTGTTTTTTTCCTCCTGAAGATGCTGCAGCTTCTGTAAAAATGCAAGCAAAGGCTTCACTGTTAAACATCACACAGAATTATGTAATGATACAATATGCTGTTACTAATGAGAAATACTCTAGTAAGAATATTTTTCTCAGTATTTTGTATCACAAAATTATAAAGATGACTTCACCAGAATCCTATTTTTGTGACATCCCAAAGTCTGAAGCCTACAAAAATGATAATGCACATATATAATTTGTCACAGTTATTTATGTCAGTTCTCTCTTAAGTTCCCAGGTCAGCAAAGCTGTACTAAAACCACTTTGCATGTGGGCTTTTGTTGTTAAACCCCAACTATATCACTATTGGTGCAGAGACATGAAATGAGTTGTCTGGAGGTGGGAGGGATGTGTGGAGGTGTGAGTAAAATGGACCCCTAAACTTGAAATTCTGCTGCCCCATCCCCAAAGTTCCATTGCAGAACAGAGTAGAACCCCAGGGAACTGCTCTTTCAAACAGGCTGTAACAGTAGTGTCTGCAGGGTATTGAGGTACCTACCCTTCGATAGATACTTTGTGGAAAGACGGAAGCATCTGCAAATGATTTTGATGTTTTATTCTGAACTCTTGCTAATTTAGCATTGAACTGAAATCAGGAAAAGACCAAACATTAAGAACCAACAGGAAAAAAAAAAGTATAATTTAAACTTCTTTACATTGGATTTTGTACCTGAAAGTAGTAATTGCAAGCTTTTCTACTATTTAGGCCTAAAACAATGAAGCTACTTAAGCTAATTTTTAAAAGAATGCAATTATAGGCTACCTTTCTTTTAAAAATGCCTCAAAATATTGCAAAAATAAAATGGTACAAATACGATAAACCAAACAAATTCAGGCGAACAAGATGGCTACTAAAAAAAAAGCCACATGTCAGCAGGAAGAGAAAATGCAGAGGATGCTAAAAACCTCTGAAACCATCACCTTTCCCTCACATTCCAAGGACAACTCAGCTTGAACACCGTCACACCTTACTTCTCTTTTGATATGTGAAAGGTCTGAAGTAGTTCCCTAGCTGTTTCTGTAAAAAGAGTGGCTTAAAACCAGCGCCATGAATATACGTGTTGAAGTCTGTGTCTGGAATCCCTACAGGATTAGATGTCTTCAAGCTCTTGGAAATTTGTAAAGAAATACAACTTCCCAGCATTCAGAAATTAAGAATAATAAAAATGAGAAAACATTAAAAAATATTTATAGCAAAATTTTCAAAATAATTTAATTTAAAACAAGAACACAGCAAACTTCAGTTCCCTATAGTGTAGGCAGAACTCGATTCCTGAGCAGAAGCAACTGGGATACCATTATGGAAGGGAGCACATGCCACTGGTATTTGTAAAGAAAATATTTTTTTAAAGTTTCCGAGATTCCACCGTACTATTTTGTTAAGTAATAGTTAACATTTTTCACTACACAGTCTTAAGTTTACCCAATTGATCTTTAACTCAGCTTTGTAATGCATACCTCTATTTGCAGTTTAATTATTTCATTCTGCTTCTCTTCATTTTGAATTTTCAGCTGCCTTGTTAGCTCTAATATTTCCAGTTCTTTTTTCTCACTCTGTTCTCTATACTCCACTTCTTTTACTTCAACTAGTAACACAGAAATACCAAATACGATGATTATAGAAGATGTTTAGATGGAAAAAATAACATTATTTCCCAAATATTAAAACTTTCTTGAACAGCAGGTCAGTATTTCAGGAAAACAATTTCATTCAAGCAAAAAACAGACTTTAAAACTGTGTGAAAACCACCCTGTCCCAATCCAGTAAGATAGAGTCTCTTTAAAGCAGCATCACATTTTACAGAATTTGGCTTGTTTCAGCTACATGAATGACCAAAAAATCCTACTCTTCAAGGATATGCCAGTAATGGAAAAAATTAGAACTGAAATCAGTTTTTTCTCACTGCAGTATTATTTATTTGTAAAAAAACCCTCCTACTCTCCTGATCATAGCTGGAACACTCTAACAGCAGTCTGTACTTCAAAGCAACTTTCTAGTCAACACTTAACCCAAAATTTCCTTCTTTCAGACTTTTAGGTCCAAGTTCTCAGTGTCTGTTTTATCTCTGGGAATTTCTGCTCATCCTGTGTTGCTGTATTATTGTCTAATTGCCATTGTCTATTCTCTTGAGCAAAAATAATACTCAATTAAAAAGACTGTCCAATTCTGGCTTTCATTTCATATGTTTCCACTAAGAAGTATAACTTGTCCTAGATGAAGTATAGCTCCTACAGGTTACAACATGCTTTACCCAATGCTATAGCATTCAGTATTCAGAGAACTTACATTTTTTTCTTATATCACAGTTCAACTGTGTTATTTCTAATTTGTGGTCTTCCTCTTTGTTTTTAATTTCTATCATAAGTTTCTCAATCTGATCTTTATATTCCTGCAAATGTAAAAAGCTTCATAAAAATCTGGAGGTTTCTGTGCTCTTAGTCTTCTGCAAAGCGTAACAATAATGTAAAAATATACAGTACTCTCTAATTCAGTACTTGTTTTATCCTTGATCTAATAAATTCAAAATGCCCAGTTACTTCTTACACAATCTGGCTGAAGTCCACAGATGAAAAATGTGACAGGTTTCATTGTATTATAGCAATTAATTAATATAAAATTAGAAACTGTACTTATTAGGAGAACAGGCAAAGGTACAGGTAATACACCTTTCCCCAATCTAGGATCTGATACAATGCTGCAGTTAGATTAAGTGACTAGTTTTACGTATTTTTGACTGTAAGATTGTACAACATCATATTTGAGATATTAATTTTGTTAATACTTCTTATAACAAGGATTCCACAACTTCATACTGGCAGCAGTAGAAAAGTCAGTGATACCAGCAGTAATAGTAAACTACATACACGTATTGTAAGTATTGGACCAAACTTACAATATCTATATGTAGATATTAATGATGGCACTGATACTCAAGTGAAGAGTTTGAACACACGTATTGTAAGTTTGGTCCAATACCTACTCCAGAATTACCAAGGAATTGGCTGTAGCTGCAAATGCAGAGGTTCTTCCTCCAAAGCTCTTGTCAGAGCCACCTTGGTAGGTGGCTACTCACCAGAGAAATGCTCAAAGGCACTCACAAAGTCACTTACTGATTGGTAGTAATAGTAGATATGGACACTGTCAATTAAGTGTCTTCAGAACAACACTAGGATGTTCCACCATGCCCATACATGTGTAATGTACAGAATCATAGTCTTCTCATGTCTTGAAGAAGTCATTATTTATTTTATTGCCAAACTGTCGAGATAACAGCTCTATTGGTATAAAAATTTAATTTTAACTCATGGTACAAACACAGGCAAAGAAAATCAGCAGTGAGATTCCTGATCCTATCCAGGTAACAAACAGATCAGCAATTTTAGCACAGAGAACTAACATGACTTGTGACTAGCCCTTCTGGTGTTACCTCCTTTCCCAAAATGAGTGGCACAGGTAAAAAGTAGAGAGATGGTAAATGGCATTTATTATGAGACACAGATAAAAAGTAGAGACCTATTATCTTTGTAGCATTTACTCCCAAAGAAACTATAGACAAAATTCAGACAGTTCTTGATTCTCAGGTAGTACAGCTGGCTTCACAAATATCAAAACCTTATTTCTACTCAAAAATATATTTTAATGCAAGGGATTAGATTTTAAAATGCAACATTGAATTTAAAGCTAAATACAGCTAAAAAAAAAAAGTGCATCTTAGATTGAGTTAAGAGTTCTCAGCGCTTAGTTTTGACCTCTTAGACTCTCTGAGACATTCTCATATTGATACTGTTGTGCGAACAACACTGCTCTTTTTCCACATGACAAACATTAGGAAAAGTACAGCAATAACGGTATTGGTAGCAGACCCAAGAATATGAAGATACATGAACTGCTACAATAGAGATAAAATATTATTCCTCTACCCAAAGAATGATCATTTGTGGCATACCTGTTCACGAGTCTTTAATTTCTCTTCCAAGATGCGAATGGTACTCTTCAGTCTATCATTTTCATCTAAAAAAATTTTTAAAAAATATATGGTACACTAAAAAGTACATTTTGACAGTATTATTAGTATAAAAGCAGAATAAAGAAATTTTTGACTTGTCTGAACTTTAAGAAAATTTTTGTAGACATGATAATCATAATTAACAGAGCTATATAATCTCAGTCTCCATTTTTTTAACAAGAAAATTAATAGTTTAATCATAATATTTGTTTGATATTACTACTTTGAACTGTCTTTAGCCTTCTGATAATTCTGAAGCATTCAAGAAAATCTTGATACAAAGTTCTCTGGCTCAGAAAATAAAAGATTATTATAATGGCTACAAGAGCTTCAAATTGGAAGATGCAACTTTTTAAGTACTTATTTCCCAAAAGCTGGAAAATAGTATCTCAAAAACAGAAATGAGAAAATTAGATAATGCTTCTTTTTATTATTAGAAGTCACTTTGAGTATTAAAGGCAGCCCTATACTTCCCATTTGTAAAAGTTTATTAATATTTATGCATATATGCCTTGAACACACAATCGGTATAAAATTAACTACATGATGTACAGGTATACTGTGGTTTAAAGATATAACCAAATATTTACGTATTTTAAAATACCAATGAGTAATTGTCAAGTATTTCTGGAAAACAGCTACATTTTAATAACATTACACTGAAAATTAAGACTCTTTAACAAAGTGATAAAAAATATGCCTAAACACTTTAATAGACTACAGTCCAACAACTGAATGATACTTTCTCAATTTTTGTAAAACTGTGCTATGTTGAAATAAATTTAAAACGCAGCTATTGATTAAAAAACCTCACTGAAGCAGGACTGCTTTTACATGTGGATTCTAAGTAGGATAATAGGAATAGGCATTCATTAAGCATATAGACCACCAAATTCTGCACAAGATTGATTTTAAATAATTTTTTAATGTTTTGCTGCCAGTGACTTTCTCTCTCTGAAAAAAAACAGTAAATATAAAGAAAAAAATTAAATGCCTGCTCATTCTAAATTACAGTACAATATATATAAGAACATTTTTGCTTTTACCTTTTACATTACAGTGGTTTTCAATGGTTTGTGTTAGACCCTTTATCACATTCTGTAGAGTAGTGCATTCTAAAAGAAATTAAAAAATCAAGGTTTTTGAATAGTTTCTTCACAATTTTAATGTCATATTTTGTCTATAAACTTTTCTCAAATATTTTATAAGAATATTGATTAAATATTTAAGTATTTCTATCGACTATGGAAATAGATTTATTATTGCTTGATTACTGATTTATTTTAGCTTTTAGTTTGACAATATATTAAACCAAATTTTATCAAGCAATACTTGATGAAACTATTACATTCTTGTTTCTATCCAGAAAACAAGGATGTTATTGTTTTCTGGGCAATAATAGACATTTTCCATATCAGAATTCCAGAAATTTGGTGTAATTAATGAAACTCAGGCTTACTTTCTTGACTGTATTTTTGACAAGATTCTTTTTTGCAAGACCAACACTATTCCTCATTGCAGTTTCTCATGCCATTTTAAGTGCATATTAACATTCATCTTGTGGCTCAACATAAACTTGGAGACATTCAGAATATACTACTATATCCCTTTTTATTTTTTAATCCCTCTTATTTTTAAACTAAATAATAATGTGAGTGTATGTATATACATGCAACTTATGATTTATCAGTTTACATATTTGTATTTAATAATTTTATTAATTATATTTTTAATATTTGAACACCATACAGACTGTCTGTAATATAAAATTAGTCTTTCATTAAAACTATTACCCCTTAGGCCCCTTGTAACCTTAAGTAACTTAAGTAAAGTTACAAAACATTCAACGACTGGGAAGACTTGGGGACACTTAAAACTGAGGTTGATTACTGTTGAAGCCTTTCTTTCTACTTCCAGAGTACCACTGCATTTATTAAGTGGCTTTTAATTTCCAGTTACTCATCTCCTAAGACCAAAGCTCTGTTGAAAATTATAGATTGTGTAATTAGAGACTACATTAAAAATAATGGAGTCAGGATGATGAATTAAGATCCCAGCTCAGAGATTCAGTTTTCCATTCAATCTTCTTGATCTGTAGTCTGTTCCTCCATCAAGTCCACTTTTCAAGCAGCCGAATACATTAGCCAGCTGCATTCTCCCATTCCATGCTTCCAAAAGAACAGTAGAGGGTGCACGCACAGCACAGAAGCATTGCCTGCCCTCAGTTCCTGTCTGGATCAAAAGCATTTGTGGAAAAATCCTATTCAAAGTGGGAAGCACTAAATTAGCATGCCCATTTGTACCAACTAGTTCTATTACAAATTTTCTCCCATTTGAAAATGTATGGAAACAAACCCAAATGCTTGTAATTCATGCACAAATTTGAAAGGCGGCTATGCATCTCAGTGAACAACAGGACAGCAGTTAAGTCTTGCAATGAATCACAGCTATTTGGGTGCAAGCCACTCCTTTGTCCAGTCCCAAGAATATCTGCTTATCTTATCTTTCAAGGAGGTATACTGGCAAATCCCTTATGTAATTACAGTTTTGACTGGAAAAAAAATTACTGGGAACCCACAAGTTTTGTTTGCCTACATTAAGGAAGAAAAAGCAAAATTTTGCTAAATGGTTACAGCTTTGTGGATCTCTGGCATAGCATCTGCTATGGATTCCGTCTGGTTCCTTCCTCATAAAGAATGCTGCCTACATGCAGAAAGACTGAACAGCCTAAGTGCTCTTTTTCCGTGTTTAGTATCCATAATTTAATGGACTTTCTTCCATCTGCATTTATAATTGAGGCTATTGGCTTTTTAAATAGGGCAATTACATCAACTGCTTTTTCCTTTAATACTTTTGAAACACTAAGTCAACAACTACATAATCATGAAGATGCTAAATAGAGCCACCTTAAGTGTTCCATATACAATAATGTGATTGCTTTCTTTTTAAAAACTACAGTAGTTTTTAGTTCAGAATTGTAGCCTGCACCACAAGAGTCCATTTAGTAACCACAGAAAAGGTTTAGGAGCAGAAAACAAGAATAAGAGACTTGCATCCATCTTAAGTGGATCTGCAATGATTTACACTGAACATAAACTGTAGTCCTGAATCTCACCTTTGTTTGGCAAAAAACTTATCAAAACGGAGTTAATTTATGATCTTTCAGCACATGTATATACTTGGTCAGTTGCTCATCTTCTCCCACCTTATCTTTCGTTCAAGTGTTTCACTCTCCCCTCTAGTAGCCACAAACCCTTCAGGACAGGTGGAACAACAGCTTTTCCTTCCACAGTGCTCTTTCTTTCTGCTCCTCTGCTGTAAGCAGCATTTTTATTTGGAATCTTGTCGTCTCTCATGTTTTCCTTGGCTGTTCTGTGAATTGTTTTGTGGTCTACTGATAAGTTTTATATTCTAAATCTGAGTTGTTTACCTATCTGTAAATTAATTTGCTTTTGTGTTAAATTTGTAACAGGATGAACTTGAGAATGCTCTTCATCTTGAGAATATATGTACATTAAGACTGTGTGGTTGACACTGTTCATCAAGAAATCGATGTCTAAACCCAGAAATTTCAGTTGCCTTTGGACTAACTCCTCAAATGAGACTTTTGGGAAATGTGACTGAGCTGGGTTCTGGGAAACATCTTGTCACCAAGACAGGATAAAAAACTATCAACACCCTTGTGATGTAGATAGTGTGCTAGGGGAGCTGTCTCACCAACAACTTGTGTAGTATGCTGATTATATAGGATACAGTAATACATATTAATCAAGTTCTCATACATAAACATGATAATTCCCATAATGCACTTTCTTATTCCCACCTCTTTCTGGTCATGCACACTTGAGTCCTGAAATGAGTCAAGGGGCTGCTTTTGTGACCACTACAGGCTACTAACTCAAAAGAAAGACCCCCAATGTCCTTGACTCAAGGATTTTGGCTCTCATTGCAATTTTAACATGCTTTGAGGCCCTTTCACAATACAACTTTTAAAACACTTGGTCTACAGGGCAATAAATCATCCTTACCAAACAGTTTAACAATGGTATTTTGTCCAGCAGCGTAACTGGTTGTATGGTTACTTTAAACTAAATACAACATCTCTATGACTACTTAAAACATTACACCACTACCTTTTATAAAAAATTATATTTCTGTGAGATTCCATTTAATTGATTAGTCCTAATCATTCCTTATCAAAATCACCAAAAATCATCAACTCAAATTAATAACAAATCAGTAACAATCAGTAACGATCTTAGGACATAAGGCTAGGAGAAATCTTTTTTTACAAGCCACAGTTGGTAATATCACTGTATAAAAGCCATTCTCAAAACTAGAGTCTGTTAGGATAACTTGCCAGAGTAAGAATGCAAGTATGAATGCTACATTTGGTCCCTTGCATCTTCTCCAGTTATGCACAGGATCCCTCTATAACCTCATCAATAATAAAGAGTGGTTTCTAACAGTTGTTTGACTTTCAAAAGGGTCTACAAAGAATTAAAGTACTAGACACAACACTTTTAGTGCTCTGATTCTGAATACACAGTATGCTATTACCCCTTCTGAAGAGTGAATGTGATAAAGATGCAAAGATCATTTCTATCCATTTCAAAAAGAAAAAGCAAAATGCTTTAGAAACATTATATATTTACTATAATTTATAATCACCACGCCAACCATAATGTCCTTTTGAATACTTTTAATGTTATGGTCACTGCTGATCTCCAGTAACCTGGTAACTGTTTACCTGAAGGTTCCTCTGACAGCCTTCGCTGCAGATTATGGCAATTTGCTGCCCAAAACGTTTGTGAAACTCTGTTTTCTGATTACCATTAGTGAATACAGTTGAAAAATATAAACTTAGAAGCACTTCATGCCATGATACTTGGAAGTGTTTACCATATTGGCAAGCACATTAACCTAACAGAACATCCATGATAACTGCCTTAGTCTCTAAATACATTCTATCCCTTCAGCATCTCTTTTACTTCCTCATCAAGTATCTTTCAGAACCACCTCTTGGAAGTCCCACCTTGTTCCAAGTTTCTGCTTTTCACTTTTCTTTGTTATTGCTACTAACAGTCTGCAATCTCTCTTACTGACCAGAATCCTTGTTTTCTAAAAATTCTGCCTCCTATCTATATCCATACTGATTTGTACAACTAGTAGGACTTCAATATTATTATTTGTTTTATCCTGACTGTCTCTGCTGCTAAAATTTTACTTCCTATTTCATGCTGATTGCTCTGGTATTTTTACTTGGATTTCTGCCATTTACATTTTTTCCCATCATGTGTTTCAAAACAGCTCCAGAGGTTCTTCTCTTCAGTTGTATCAGCACAACTATCTCCTCAAATCATTTCACTCTTATCGAACTGAGGCAGTACTATATATTTTATCCCGTAGTTTTTATGGTAAGAATAACTTCTTTTTGTCCACCTTTCCTTTTTTCAAATCTATTTTGTATAAAACCCTTCCTCTCTGTTTTTGTCAGTAATGGGGCCTTTTGATCTGTTTCTTAATGACTGTTCTGCATTGTCTTTTGTGCTTATTAGACAAACAAATGGCTCTAATGAGTCAGACTGAAGTTCTACCCAGTTCACTATCCCACTTCACAGCACCCAGTAGAAGATGCTTCAGGAAAGAGGAAAAAAAGCTGGATAAACACTACCTTTCATAGATCCTCTCAGCTTCCAAAACACAAAAATAAATGAGACCTGAGTGTCAATTACTGTCTTTGTGTTTAACAAATTTATTTTGTTCCATCAATTTTTCTAGCCTTTTTGGACTAATCTATACTTCTGTTATCTGCAAGCTTCTGTGAAACTGATTTAACTATTTTGTATGTATGGAAAAGTTCCTCCTCTTGTTTGTTTTAAATCAGCCAACAAGTTTGATTTCCATCTAGTTCTCTTAGAGCATTAAACAGCAAATATTAATCCCCTAGTCACTTTCTCTATGCCATTCATAATTTTACAGCTGTGAGTCATGGCAGCTCTATTCTTTCTCTTCAGGCTGAAAAGTTTCCAGTCAACTTAAGTCTTTCTTCAGATGTTCCAAAATTGTGACAAAACCTGTGAGAGCCCCAAGGGCATCCTCCCCCACCCATCTCCTGAGTGTTTGGCTAAACTCAAGGCCAATTTAGAGTACAGCTGGTGACCTTGAAAAAAAGCTGTTTGAAGAAATGGCTCCCCCTCCTTTCCTTGGGAGGTTCTTTTAAGCTGAAACTTTTGCCTTTGGCCTACCTTGAGCTACGCTGCAGCTGTGTCGCAGCCACTTATCATGTAGATCCAGACACTGGTCATGACCTAGGGAGTGACTTCCTGGCTTGATTTCAGATCTGCCTCATCACTAGGGACCTGTTAGTGATCACTAGAATATGTCTGGCCCTTGTTACCAATTCTGAACCTGATCCTGACTCAGCCTCCTTGTCTTGACCTTGGACCTGTTCCATCACTACATATTTGTTTGGTAATCTGTACTTTTGGCTGACCCTGGCAGCCCTCACTGGGACAGTCCTGCATGAGTATGGTGGAAGTGAGTCTCAGCTGGTGGAGCCCTACCTCTGTGGGCCTTGCTACATGACTGGTTCCTGATTCCCTGTCCCTTGCTCCTCCCTAACAATACCAAACCTTGCCACCTTCTCTGTTATCTTTTCTAGCTCTGGAATTTTGAAATGTGGAGACCAGAACATTACATGAAAATCACAGACTTTACAGGGACATGATGTTTGTTTCTCTATTTCTTCCATAATCATGCCTATCACTCTATTTGCTTCTTTGACCAGTGATATTTTTAGAGAACTGTCCAGATGGACACCAAGATCTCTTTCCTGAGAAATAGCCTACTAGGGCCCACCACTGTTTATATAAAAAATGCACTGCTCTCCCCTTTTTAGCACTTGTCATCCTATATCATGCGATTCTTGGTATAACTGAGTAGATTAGCATCATTAGCAAACTTCACTGACTTACTCAATAGCATTTTCAATTCTTTTCTGATTATACTAAATTATTTAAGTCCCAGTGAAGACCTAAGAGAAACCAACTGGCAATCTCACTCCAGCATGAAACTAAGTTTATTCCTAAATTAAGAAACAGAAAATTTTAGCAAGTTGGCTTGTCAGAGACTAAAGTTCTACAAAAAGATGCACCTTTCAGCAACTCTACAAACTACAGAATAAGCAACCACAAATCTATGCTAAGTACGAGATATTATTTCTCTTTTCAAATACGCATCTGAAAAGATATACTTCTGGAATTAAAAAAAAATCTTAATAGTTTTCTCTTTAATTCCTCCTCTATTTGTCAGACTTTTTATGATGATGTAGAGGCTTATAATTCTCACCTATAAAATAGTAAATGCCATTTCATTGGTTATCTTCCACTGAACACTTTGAATCCTCTTAATATTAACTATTATTCTCATTCATAATTATTTAGCGCCATAATGGCATCTGCTATACAAAGTGAAAGAAATATGACCAAAAGTGATCACATTAAAGATGTCAGTAACACAAGTACAGCCTATGGAACAAACTTACAACAGTGATATCAGCTTAACTGAACTCAGCCTTGAAGGATTATATGCTATTCCTTACACTTTATGACCAAATTGGAAATGTCACTGAGATAAAATCTTGACCGTGTCATTATAAACACAAAATGGGCTATCACATTTTTTAATCTGACCTCTTTAGAGATTAAATCTCACACAGATAAAAAGAATAATCACTTTGGACTGTTTTTCAGTCTTCTAGAAATTAAACAAATGCCTAGGCAGAACAAGACACAGATTCCACCAATACCCAAGGTCCTTACAGAATTAATTTAAGTGAGCAAAATTCAAAGAGGAACACTAAAACTTCGACATACCAGTCAGCATGTTACAGGGAAAAGATATTCCAACCCCCAAACAGTGCTATCAGATTGTCCCTAAACAAACCAAACCACACGAGCAGCTAAGAAACATAATTCTTTATGCTATCTTGAAGCACCAGCCCACCAGTCTGACATGCCATCTCCAATTACAGGCAAGCTTTGACATTTCAGGAGGCAGCAAAATATGCATTCAAGAATGAATGTGGCTCATTTTTCATTGGACAAAATGTTTCTGGTGACCAGGTGAAACATAACATTTGTCACACTGATAGCAATGGAACAGCTCCACTGGAGGCACGACAGTGTCAGTGCTGACCTTACTTTTCCCAAATGTTCACCCTGTTGTTCTACACAGACATCTGAGCTCCTTATAGATTAACATAAGTCACAGGCTAGCACTTCAGGTAAAACTACTGATGTTAGTTTGCCTAAAAAGGTTGGCTTTGTAAACTGGAAGTTCACTAGATGCTGGAGAGGCCTGTATGCATGGGAAAGGTAAACATTTGGGCACAATAACCTCATCAGGTGTACCAAGCTCATCTGATCCTCTCCCTCTTTCCCTGTCAACACATTGTTTCCCTGGGGAAAAGAGATAATCAAAAGAAAAAAGATAAAGAGGAAAAAGTAAAAGAAAATACAACAGGGAAGTTTTTATTTCACAGATACTACATGCACTCAAAAACCTCTTAAAATGGATGGATATTAACATCAACTGGAAAATAGTTATTTTAACCCAGGTCTCAAAATATGTTTGTGGATTAAAGTTATCTGGTTTATGCAAATGAGATGGATTCCATTACATGACCCAAGATTAAGCATTACTGCTTTTCACACAGTATCCTAGATCCTTGCTATTTTATTTTTGTACTTTATATGACTGAAAATAATGGAAGTATTACTCAGAATTTCCTGTATATATGCACAAACCATATCGCTTTTAAAAAATAACTTACCTTCTTTTACTGATTCTTCCTTTGATTGGCTTAATGTTAACAACCTGTTACATTTTTCCAGCCGAAGAACCAGCAGATTATTTATTTCATTAATTTCTGATATTTTCTAGATAATTGGAAAAAGACCAAAGTTATATTAATACATTTTGATTTAAATTTTCCATCTTGAGTTTTAAATTAATAAAAATTTTAAAATTTCACAACACTGAACACCTGTGTTATTTGCCATTCTGGAAATCGTGTTACTCAGAAGAATGATGCTAAACTTGAGAGCCTGTGCTATGGCGAGTTTACCCTGCAGAACTAAGAATGCTGACTTACATCACTAGTTATAAACTGGTTTCTTCTCAATTCTGTAGTCCTCAATCTGGATCGATCCTTAGCAAGGTTCTTCCTACTGCTTTGCATATGAGGCTGTCAATGCCTTTGCTGAGCACCAACATGAGTAATGGGTGTGAATAGGTGTCATGACCCAGACTGGAAGCCCAGAGAGTCGAAATGGTTCTGTGATCCCCTCAGGTTAAATTAAGGTGAAACGACACCAAACGATCCGTTCAAATGTGTTACTTGAGGTAGGGAACAATTTAAACTTGAAAAAGGATAACAAGCAATGTGGTCTCTTATAAAAATCAATAAGAAGGGAAGGGAAAGGTAAGGGGAAAGGTAAGGGAAATGGAAAGGGAAAGGGAAAGGGAAGGAGATAAAGAGTCAAAGAAATCCGGATCACCATCCCTGGATCCAGCGTTGTCTCAGGTCCGTTAATCTTGGGTGGTGAGTGCACACACACCAAAGTTTCTGTCCCCTTTTAAATTCATCTTATCAGTTGATTATCATGCTAGAGGAGGGGCAGGTATTGCACTAACTCATTTCCATGAAAGATGAGGGAAAAGGTGGAGCATTGTACTCGCCCTGCCCAGCTTTGGCTTTTCCTCTGTTCCTAGAGATTTTTGCTGAAGTCATGCTTCTTATTGGTCATCCCAGAAGTGATCACCTCTTATCAGTTCTTGTTACCACTTCAATGGCAAAGGCGTGAAATCATTAGCAAGGCAAGCATGGTGTCTGGCTTGTACAGTAGAGCCACAAAGTACTGGTCCAATACAATACAGTGATCATTGGTCCTTATGCTTGATGGCAAACATTTGGTTTCACTCAGTCCAGTTTTCTCCTTTTGAGGCTTATCTAAGGAATTTGTCAATACAATTGCAAGGGACTGGGAAGGTGTATCCTTCAATACACTCCTGCTTTCTTGGGTGACATTCCTTAGACTAATCTAAAGGCCACAGCTTGTCCTTGAAGTTTTCTGTGTCGAATGTTTGAGGAATTTCTTCTTTCAGTTCCTTACAATAGGAATTGGTACAATATGTTTTTTCCATGAGAAATGCTAAATTTATATCAGAAGCCCCTTTTGTGTTATGTTTAGTGTGGATTTACTGATCAGGAAATCACCAGAGAGCTGGCCAACATGAGTCTAAAAAGAAATACAGCACTCATTTTCCTCAGTGGATCAATCTTTTAAGAACTGTCATATCCATAAAATAAAGAGAGCTCAATGCGTATGGAATATGAGAACAGATGCTCCTGCTACGGCAATGACATTTTTCTAGAACAAGGAACAATTTCTGAACAGCTATGAAGTGCTAAGGCTTGGACAATAGGCCCAAGCCAGAGCTGACCTATAGATGAATCCTGTATATTTTATAATTGATAACCATTATACTAGTATGTATTGTACTAAACATGTTTATCTTGAATATATATATATATATATCTCCTTATCTTTCCTTGTGTATAGGCAAGATAACAGGGTCACAGAGACAGTTGTCTGGCCCTGTGACCTGGGGTGTCACCTTGCTCATAAATCAATTAGATAAGGAGGGAAACTCCCTTAGTTTCTCCCCTGAGACCTGGCCAAGCTCTGGAGGGAATCTAATGTGAGAAAGAAACCAGATATTTCTGCTTAAAACAAAGGTGCCAGCTATTCTGGCTTGCTGATTTGTAGGTATATAAGGCTGGACCCGCTCACAGCGACTTTGGGTGCCTCACCTATGGGTGGATGCACCGCGTAGGATTTTCCACTTGCTGGGACAGGCTCTGCAAACCCTCGCTGGGGTTGCCCTGCCACTGCGGATCTGGATGATCGTAAAGTGTGAAAGTGGTGATGGATCTTTCTTAATCACTATTCTCTTTCTCAGGTAGTAATGATTTGATGCATTACATGGTTTTTTCTTATTTGTTTAAGCGCGCTGTTCTGTCTTTTCTTACTGTATGTTTTCTGTATTATTCTGTTACATTATTTAGTTATTTTAAGTAAAATATGCCTACTCTTTTCACTCTGGTGTCTGAGTTTAATTGGTATCTTTAATCAGCAAAACAGGCTAGTCCAGCAAAACTGTAATACTGTTATCTTCAATAGCAGCTTTTGATACAGACACTCCCACATTTTTCCTGAGAAGCCAGATTTGGCCTCTGCACCATTAAAATTCTAGCACTGAAACAAAGGCTTCTCAGACTCCACAAAAGTACTCATTAGTTTGAGATAGAGTCAGTAGAAACACTTTCCAAAGTTGGTATTATAAGGCATATTAATAAGCTTAAAAATCTTATTAAAATATCATAAAATATTTATAGATAGCAGTCTCAACATTATTTACCTTCTTCACTTACCTTTTCTATCTCTGAGAAGTTATCTAAAAGTTTATCGAGGTTCACCACACTGATTTTCTTCACAGTTTTTTCATGGCTGTGATTCATTTATTTCTGGACCATATAATCCAGTGATCACTGTATATATAAAAAAATAGGTCTATGAATTCATTTATTTCTCATTCATACTATGTCAAAAGATTTCATATGCACAAATGTAAGCAGAACAAAGAACACCTTTTTTAAATTAAAACTATTTTTGTACGTGAAGCTAAACTTCAACCAACCTAACATCTAGGAATGAGTGGCAGAGAGACCAAGCAAAATCTCTCAAAATGTTAGACAACATGGTTTGTAAATTTTTGTTGCAATTAAGTAAACCTGAAACCACTTTCATAGACACAATGATGCAATTTTATCTAAATACACTAGCAGTCTGCATCTAGGGTGTTTTGGAAAGATAGGACCAATTTGCCTTTAGATATGCTGTTGAACCAGATTGGTCTTCCTGTCCTCACTTTAAAGAGTAGAAAAGTCAATCAATTGAAATGATTACTTATTCTGTATTGTGCATATTTTGTGTGAGGCAACACATGAAATTTTGTTGTTTGTTTAACTTAAAAAAATGTTACTCAAGTAAACAAGATTTTAGAAGGCACACATTAATGCAGCATCTACAGCTTTTACCTGTGTAGATGCTCTAATACTTAACTACCCAGGCTTCAAGTTACTTACACATTTTCTTATTAAAAAATTGCTTTAACATCAGTGATGAGACACCTAAACCATATGAGCAAAAAGACAGTTTTTGGAAAAGCACCTATATAATTCCAGATTATTAACACAAATCCTATTTTTTAGGAGAAACTCTACTTAGAGAATCTTCAACATACATTTGCAAGATGGAACTGAAAGACAGTATGAATGCTTCTAAAAATACTGAAACTATCTCGGAATATCAGGCTCCATGGAACAAAAATTCCAATTCCAGCTAAACCGTGTATTCCAGACAAAAGCATAATTTCTATTTGGTAATGTATGAAATGTCTTTTTACAAATAAAAAATTACAGTGAGAGATGAACCATAAGTAAGAATGCGTGCACTACCCAGAAACTGAATGCACTTCCAGACAGAAATGCTTACACTGAAGTTAGGTGGAAATAGGTATGTAAATGAACAACTACTAAGCTGGAACCAAAATGACATAACTGAATTATTTTCTCAGTCATTCAATATTTACAACTCTTTACATGTATGTAACTTCTTACCAAAGCAGTAAGATATTAGTTCTGGGTGTTTAATACTAATTTTTCTCTTGTAGCCACTGTTTCCTCAGAGGGAGTAAAATTCATTCATCATCTAAGGCTAATTAACTTTTTTTAATCAACAGTTTTAAATATATATGTAACATTAAAGAACTGATGCTTCTAAGTTAGTGATTTTTTACTAATTTAGCAATCTTAATGACCTCTGTTGTTACAATGCAATTATTTGTTATAATTGAGATTTCAATACTTATTTAATAGATTAAATTTTGTAAAACAACTACATAAATATATTCATATTCTGTTAGTTGGTAATCAAAACACACACTGTGAATGCTAAGCCCTGATCTTTCCAGTCCATTAATATGGGCAGCATCCTATCTGTTTGTGAATCACCATTTCTTTTTATCCTGCTCTTAAAACTGTGTTTCACCCTCTAAATTTTGACTAAGGCTGGGAGTTTGGGGAGCTGCCATGTTGTGTGCTGTTGTTTGTTTCCTTATTCCATGGCATCATTTGTTTTCTCAGAAGGCCGGATGTGCTCAGCACTTGGCAGCATTATGCAACAGTGCCACTGGGAATAGAACTCCTGCTGAACTGCAACAGTAAATTAAGAATAGTATGTTGTATTATTAAAGTTGGATTTTTCCAGCAGGAAAACTCATCAGTTTTATTTTTGTGCATATCATTATATGGGTTATGTCCTCCAAAGTCATTTTTGTTAAGCGTCCCACCTATTTTGACCTATATTTATTTCACTAGGGGAAAAATAAAGATTTAAAATGTATTTTTGACTGTCATAAAACCGACACCTTTATTTAATCACTTTTTAGCACCTTGTTATCCATGCTCTCTCAGTATCCTTCTTAAAATACTGTAGTTGGTGATCTGATTTTGAAATTTAAGGCTTTATGTTTTGCTTCATGTAACAGTGAAACCTGTATTTGTAGCTAAAATGAGTAGATATTAATTTTTAACTGCGTATCTCAATTGAATACAGTAATTATTCAGTAATAGGCATTTTAAATAGTCATTATTCTGAATGCCACTCTTAAGACAGGCACCTGACATTTGCATTGACTATAACCTTGCTTTAAGCTCTCACTCTTTGAAGGCCCCGAGCATATCTAAAACCTGGTTTGCGGACCAAAATTACCGCCACGCAAGTGGCACCCACAAGAGGGGTGAATCCCCTTCCCTCACCCGCTTTCCCAGACAACCGCCAGGGGACAGAGGCACCAGCTGCACCACTGCACACCCTCCGGCGACGCCCACTGAGACCTGGCGACCCTCTCCCACCCCCGAAGTTTGCCCGCACAGAGTGCCCTGGGCAGAAGTAAGCCCCTCTCAGGGTCTCGGCTGCGGGCGGCACGCAGAGCACGGCTTCCACCCCTCAGTGCGCCGCCATAACCGACCGCCGCAGCAGACCGCGCCGCTCCCGCCCCAGCGGCACCGCCCG